GCTACACTTCTACCTTAGCAAGTCTTTCTAGACAGACACCGAGTTAGATTGATAGACTGGACAGCCATCAAGTTAGGTTTGCAGACATTGTCGTGGTTTTCAGTTTAGTCTATGAATTTGGTGGACTTATAAGCTGATGGCTGGTGGGCTCATGATTTAGTTCCTGGTAGCTTCACCACAGCCCAGAAGCCTGTCCTTCATGCCCTCCCTACCTCCAGCTTGCAATGCTCTGCGTCAGGGCTTCTGAGAGTTTTCTAATCATGACCCCTTGCACTCAAGAACATTTCACACAATCCCAGTTACGTATGTATATAAAATGTGTGTACAAATCAAAGTTACAGATAATAGTATCATTTATTAAAGACGAAAGGGATTTTTGCACACTAATGAAATGGATGGGTGTATTTGCTTTTACATGAAGGATTGGATCCTGACTGAATAGTTGAAGTGCAGGACACAAACCATCTTCAGGGTTGGTTGGAGTTGATGGTTGTTTTGCTGAGGACACATGTCACATAAATGCATAATACAAAACAGCAGAAGTGTATTTAGGGTCATTTTAGAAGTTGTTGGAAACTAACCCATGGAACACGCACTTGGAGAGGGTGGACATTGCTTGCTCTCTGTTTCTGGGCAGCCATGAGGTTAGAAACTTTGCTTCACCAGGCTTTCTCCACCATGATCCTACCACCAGCCCGAAGCAATAAGGCCCAGTGGACATGGACTGAGATCATAGCCAAGCAATAATCTTACCCCCTTAGAAGAAAGAAAAAGAAAAGAAATTGCTGGTCACTCTTCCCCAATACCAAGACAAATTCATTTAACATTTAACATTTTTAATAATTCAAGTTAGTAGCTCAAATAGTAATTTCTAAAATCAAACTTTCCAGCACAATACAATCTGAAGTATACTAGTTTGATGCTTAGATGCTGAGGCACGAAGGTAGAAAAACACTAAAGGTCCTTGTTTTCCAGACACTTTTATGTTTCTGTAGGAGCGGAGTAAGAATGTCGTAATTCATAGCAAACAGTAGCCCTGGATTTGATCTGAGGTGTTTTAAGCAGACTTCAATGGTGTTGCTGGTTTGTGCACTGAACAAAGCGCATGCGTTGTGTGCTCAGAACCAAGGCTGCAGCGAAGTCTCCCAATGCAACATGGGTACCGGCTGCTGAGCACATCTAAGATTGTCATGCGTTTGATTCTGAGTTAATTTTGGGACTTTACGTGGTCAGAGTCTTTTTACTGTTGCCAAATGTTTTACAGATAAGGGTTTGTGACCCACAATTTAAGAATCTAGGCTTTGGGGCTGGGGGGTATAGCTTAGGTGATAGAATGTTTGCTTGGTATGCCTGACTCTCTGGGTTCCACCCCCAGTGCCTGGAGGTGCACACCTACGATCCCAGTACACTGGGGAATGGAGGATCAGAAATCCAAGGTCACCCTCAGCTATATGGTAAAGTCAAGGCTACATGAGATACTTATAAAATAAAACAAAATAGATAATAAAATAAGATGCAATGCTAGGCTTTAAGACCCCCTCCTCCCAGAGATTCCAGGGCTGATCAGCTCTCCTCTGCCCCATAGCCAGTCCGGGGGCCATTCAAATGGGCTCACACTCTTCCCTTCCTTGATCTGGGACATGAAAAATACATCCAATGCCTTCTTTCTGTGTGCACCAGAGCTCTTAGGACTCTTCAGCACCTTGATGCCGCTCTCTGGATTTTCATGAGCCCCCCCCCCCACCTCCCTGGTGAGGATCAGAGCAGTAATGTGAGCAGCAGATCTCTTGCACACAGGGTCTGGACTAGGACCCAGTGTGGAGGAGGCTGGGTTCAGACTCACAAGACCTGAGCCAGAGACTGCCTTACAAGACACTTTCTTCATGCTCTGCCCCCATCCTCTGCGCCCCCATCTGAAAATCAAAGGTGATAGACATGTCTTTTCATAGCAGACATGTTTAAAGGGATAGTGGAAATGCCAGAAACCAAAACAAACACACAGTGGGGACCCGGTGTAGATCAGTCCCCAAACAGGCAGGTTTGTGCTCAGGCATCGGGGATCTGACTATACCCCAAAGAGGCAAGTGTGTATTTGCGTGCTTATTTTAAGTGTGCTAATTTCTCCTTTAGAAGAATTGTCATAATTGTGTTATTTCAATATTTTGATACAACACATGCTTAGTTTTCTAAAAAGGCTTCTGGCTCATGTTCCAGAGCCTTGGGATTTTGGCTTAGATTAAAAGAGTGGACTTTTGTGGTCATTTGTCATTCACTGGCATCCTGTTCTGTGTCAGTACCTGTTCTGGATACTGGGGGACAGGGAAGGAAGTAGCACTCAATAACACGAGACACAGATAGCCCAAGGGACAGTAGTCTGCTGGGAGGGACACACACAGAAACACCAGGTGAGGCTTGAACCTAGAGCCTGGAGTGGTCCATTTTGTGAGCTCATTCATTGCATTGAAACCAAGGTCTTTCTAGGTGCCCAATCACTGTACCAGGTACTGGGAACAAAACAGACTTGACTTCGGCCTTCTTGGAGCCTGGGGTTTTGGGGATGGATACATAAGTCGAAGGTAAAGATGAGCCAAAATCAGAGCTATAGGAGGTACTGAGTACTATGGAGGCTTGCAAAAGTGCCATGGTGTGGGACTTGGAGGTGTCTTTCCAAAGGATGGACTATAAGGTTGAGAAGGAGTCTAGGAGGAGGAGACTCTGAACAGAAAGGCAGGCAGAGGGGGCCTTTGCATTCTCTCTCCATCTTATGCAGGTTTCCCATTTGTCAGACCTGAGTCAGTGATCTCTCACTAGCTCGGGTCAGCTGATTCTGTGGGTTTCCCCATCATGGTCTTGACTCCTTTGTTCAGATTATCACTCCTCCCTCACTTTGATTGTACTCCAGGAGCTTGGTCCATTGGTTAACTGTGGATTTTTGCATCTGCTTCCATCTGTTTCTGGAAGAGGGTTCTAGCTTCTCTGGGGTTGTGGATTGTAGGCTGGGTATCTTTTGCTTTATGTCTGGTATCCACTTATGAGTGAGTACACACTATATTTGTTTTTCTGGTTTGGGGTTAAGGATGGTTCTCTTTAGAGATCATTCTGGTTACAGGAGGGAGTGGAGGGATAAGAGAGGACTGTAGGGAACCAGGAGGAGGCTGTCATCATTGCTCAGGGAGGGGTGAGGGGTGGTAGTGGGCTACGTAGAGTTTAAAGGTACTTTGGAGTAGTTTTGCTGGAGTTGAGGGATGAGTGAAGGGGCGTGTCGGGTTTGTGCATGGAGGGTGACGTCATCTAGTGCAGTTGGAACACAGGTGAAAGTAGGAGGTTCATTGGGAATTGAGCTGCCCAGCTGTGGTGCTTGGGTGAGCAGCACAGCGTGAATGGAGGATGATTGTGAAACCTAGGGGGCTTTGAACACGACGACTGTTGAGGCGGTCTGAAAGGGACTGTAAGGGAGAAAGAGAGGAGCGCTCAGGGCTGGCCAGGACAAACTCCAACATGAGAAGAAAGCAAGGTAGGCGTGGCCACCTGTTTCAGACCTGTTTGCCCAGCTGTGTGGTAACTTGATAATAGGCCTGCAGAGGGAGCCAGTGAGCAAGAAGCCATGTTGACTTCTGTCACTGTAAATGCAATCTTTCTCAGGGAATCCTAAATTTCCTATACAGTGTCTGAGGAACATGATTTGTGACCCTGCTCTGTCATAGCTCTACCCAAACCTCCCTATATTCACTGCTTTTCATCCATCAGTCCCTGAGAACAGGCACAGGGCTTGACTTCAGGAGACAGCTCGCTGCTTAATCTGCATGCTGGATTCACAGGACAAAACAAAACGACAAACCACTCAGCCACTGAGCCACCTTTCCAGCCTCATATGCTACTGTGGCTCAGGCCTCTTTCCTTCTCTGCACATACATACATGTCAATGAAGGTTTTCTCCTATTCAGGGGTTAAAAGCACTTGCCATCAAGTCTGATGACCTGAGTTTGATATCCAGAACCCAAACAGTGGAAGGACCCCCCCAACCCCCCCCCCCGAAAATTGTCTTCTGACCTCCACATGTGTACCATGGCACACGGGAGTGCACACACACACACACACACACACACACACACACACACACACACACAATAAATGTAATTAAAAATTTAAAACCCAGCCAGGCAGTAGTGGCGCACACCTTTAATCCCAGCACTTGGGAGGCAGAGGCAGGAGGATCTCTGTGAGTTCAAGGCCAACCCAGTCTACAAAGCTACACAGAGAAACCCTATCTCAAAAAAAAATAATTAAAACTGATGCACAATTTTAAAAAATTCACTCACACGGGCAAATGAGGTCCCCTCTACCTACTGAAGTATACCCAGAACCTGTGCCACAAAGCCAAGGCCCAAAGTACAAGCTCATGATGATCTACAGTAAAACCCGGGACAGTTATGACAAGGAGAAAGCCAGATTTAGTGTTCACTCTGTCTACTAGCCTTGTCCTGGGGCTGCTGGTTAGGGTGGGAAAAATGACCCAGTAAGCCCTAGAGCAGGGCTACTAACTGCTAGTCTGCACCAACATTTGTACTGTTCACCAAGATATGGACCAAGGAGGGTCTGGGGATGCTCAGGAGACTCTATCTGAAGCTCCAGCCCCAGCTCTTCTGCTCACCTTACTTGGCCATTCTCCTTTGGACCAAGTCTCCCTCTGTAAAGTGGGTGGCTGAGGGAGGGTGATTCTCTGGTGGCCCTGGGCCAGATCTGCTGGGAAATCGGGAGCAGGTTCAGGGAAACTTGCTCTCTGGGAGTCCAGGCTCTTGTCCTCAGACTCTCAGGGGGAGGAAGACTCATTGAGGAGTGGAGCAGGAGTCTGAGTCAGGAGGCCACCAGACCTTCTGCCTTGTATTGGGATCACCTCTTTGCCAAAGGCATTGTTTCCACTGCTGTGATTACTGATGCTATTGAATGGGTTCTGTGGTTTTGAGTCACTGACCCTGCCCCCACCTCTCTGATGTTTTTAGACCTATAACAGCCAGAGCGAGAGCAATGAAGACTATGAGATTCCTCCTATAACGCCTCCCAACCTCCCTGAACCATCCCTTCTGCACCTGGGGGACCACGAAGCCAGCTACCACTCGCTGTGTCACGGCCTTGCGCCCAACGGTCTGCTCCCTGCCTACCCGTACCAAGCTATGGATCTCCCAGCCATCATGGTGTCCAACATGCTAGCCCAGGATAGCCACCTGCTCTCTGGCCAGTTGCCCACGGTGAGTCTATCTCCCACATGGGACCCACGGCTCCAGCAAGGGAGGGCCTGAGGGGAGCAAGTGGCAGGGTTGATCAGGGTGAGCCCTGAATCTGGACATGCGCTGAGCTCTGCTGGCTGATTTGGGGGAATCTGAAGAGTGTGGGAGCGGCATGGAGGGAAACCGTGACCTATACAGCTCTGTATGTGACAACTTGGAACTGATTTTATTGGTTGTTGATAGTATAACCCCAGTTTTATTTCTAGCAGATTTATTGAGATATATACACGCCATCAATTCACACCCATAGAGTGGGTCAGTGCACAATCCATTTGAAAATGACCTCCCCCGCCTACCAGCACTGGAAGAGGCTTAAGTCTCGATAGTAGTGTCATTAGTCACCTTTAGTCACCACTCTCAGCTATCATGCTCAACCCTTGACCCAAGACAACTACCCATTGCTTCCCCTTATTTTGCTTTGTTTTGGTTTAAGTCATTCTATAGTCCAGGCTAGCTGGCAACTCACTATATATCCCAGGCTGGCCCACTGGTTCTGTTTCTTGAGTCCTGGGGTTGCAGGTGTGTACCACCACACCCACTCCCCATAGGTTACCTTCTGACTCTGTTTGCCTGTTCTGGGTGTTTCACATACATAGCTAAGGGAGGAGAGTTACCAAGGGTAGGTGAAAGTCAGCAGGCAGAGGAGGGAAGGATGTTCCAGGATACAGACAACCTTTGCAAAGGGAAGAGGTAAGGGGCCAGTGACCTGCTGGAGTCAGCATGGGATTCCTTTTGCTGTGGGGCTGGAGAGTGAGAACTTGCAGCCAGTGGAGGTGAAGGAGCTCGGGGGAGCCTGCTGCATCAGGTCCTAAACCCCATGCTGAGCGGGGTTATGTTTTTTAGCATGATGGCTGAGCTGAACTATCCAGTCCTACAGGAAGTCGGTAGATGAGGCACTTTAAGGGACTTCCAAAACCATTCTTAAACAACTTTGCTTCATGTTTCTCTTTCCTTCCATCCCACCACAGTTAAAATTAGAATGCTTACATTCATGTTTAGGGTAATGCCGACATGAACAATGAGGAGTGATATAGCCATGGATAGGCAAAAGCTTCAGGGTGTTTCCTCACAGGAGTTGTACTGTGGGTGTCATTTCCACACAGCAGGCCTATGGCCACTAGCAGCTAACACACTTGTGGCAAAGTCACTGTTTAAGTCTTCTGAGGAAAACAATGGCCGAGCACTGACTGGCTGGACCCACCATTGAATCCAAGATGAAGTGGCCCTCCAGCGTGTCCTAGTGGGTCACAAGCACTCCAGAGGCTGAGGGACAGGGTGCTCATCTGACTTCCCTATCAGAGTCACATGGTATTGGCTGGATTGAGTTTGCTACCACAGCAGCTTCTCAGAAACCGCAGCCCAGTTCATAGCCCCATCCGAGCAGAGGCAAGAAGAACATGAGTTTAAGGCCAGATTGAACTGCATAGTGAGACCTTGTCAATACTTAATTAACTAATAACCCAATGGAAAAGTATGTTCCACTCTCCAGGGATCCTGATCTTTTGCTCCCTCTCCCCACCCCCCTCCACAAGGCCCAGTTTCCTCTTCCAAGTGGTTGACTGGTTCAGACTCCACAGTCACGTGGCCTCAGTCCCACCTTGGTAGGTTTGTTCCATCCCTGCCATTTTCTCAGCTCATTTCCTAACAAATCCTCACTACTGTGGGTTCCTTTGCTAGGGATTTCCCATGGCACACAGCAGGGCAGAGCACAGTGGCTGTCTCGATCATGAGCTATGAGAGTCACGATGCAGGAATGAGGACAACAATGTTCCCCACAGCCCTGGGATGTTACCATAAATTTTTTCGCCAAAAGCCGCCCGAGCCTAACCGCCACATGTGTGCTCTATGCCAGCCGCCTGCCCGAGTTAGGACCCAAATTAATAAACAGAGAGACTTGTATTAGGTACAATGCTGCTTGGCCAATGACTAGGATTACTCATCTGTTAGCTCAGTCTTAATTATCATAAACCTATATTTTTAAAAGACTTATCTTATAGAGGATGCCTTTTGTTGGCACCCTCTCTTGCCGGTGGCTCACATGGCACCGCTGGATGAGGAAGGGAAAAAGGGACACTTCCTGTTTCCTTTGCTTAAATATGAGTCTCCTTGCTATGTCACTTCCTGCCTGGATCACCACTTCTCTACTACATTTCCCAGAATCCTCTTTGACTCCTAGTCCTGTCTAACTTGCTGTCTCATTGGCCAAACAGTATTTTATTCAATAATCAATAAGATAAACATACAAAAAAGTACATTCCCCATCACTGGGATGCCAGTGTTTAGTAGAGACTGTGAGGGTAATAGCCACTGTGCTTTGGAGCCCTAGGTTTCACATAAGGGGCTCTTTCCTTGTCTTTGAATCCTAGCATCAGCCATCAAGAACTTGTCACAGTGTTTGAGATGATGAGTGTAGAGTCTTAGCCATTAAATGGCAGAGTGGACAATCAGGAACATTTGCTCTTGTCATTAGTCATCAAGTTGAACTGGATGGAAAGGTAACTCAGTTAGTAAAGTACTTGCCTTGCAAACATGAGGACCTAAGTTCGATCCCTCAGAACCTGTATTAAAAATAAAGGCCAGCATGATGGCATGCTCTTGTCTGAAAAACAAAGTGGGCAATACCTATGGTTGTGTCCTGGCCTTCACACAAACATACTGCCACCAGTCTCCCAGTGCCCTCCCCAAGCTTCCAGATCACAACAGCTCCAACCGTTACAAGGCCCGCTGCCAGTTGACCACAGACCACCTCTCGCTCCCCTTGAAAATAAGTGATCCCTTACATGAGCTTTATGCAAACCATTCCTTTGCAGGTTTCTTTACAGCTGGTCTGTATTTAGGATGCTTCTCAAATTCACAGTCTTAGCTCCCTATTAGTCTAGAATTGCAGGGATCCATTTAATCTTATATTCCCTCCTTTCTTAATGAGAGATAAGCCTGACCTTTTTACCCAGGGCAGAGGCCGCCACCAAATGGGAAAGCCAGATACGAAGGATGTGTTGGATGATTAGGAGGCAAGGGGCTTGACAACAGGGCTTTTAAATTCAGGAGAACCGCAAGGAGAAAGTGTGTGGGGGTGTGCAATGCCTGCTGTGTGTGTGAAGCAGCGGGATTATGGAAGCACCTGCTGGCTGTCAAGCAGCATGCAGAGGGGTTTGTTAGTAGTGCTCCTCTCAGCTGAAAGAGGCAGCCAGTAACATGGAGCGGCTGGAGGCTTCCCTTACACGGCTGCTCTAGCAAATCACCACAAACTTGTGGCTCAAAAGCAGCAGAGATCCATCTGCTCAGAACCCCAAGGCCCAGAATCAGTACTTCAAGCTGAAATGGAGATTCTGGGAAGCCATGCTCCCCAGGAGGCTGCGGGGTGTCCATCCTTACCTCTTCTAGCTTCCAGAGCAGTGGTTCCCAACCTTGCCAATTCCGTGACCCTTTAATACAGGTCCTTGTGTTGTGGTGACCCCCTCCCCAACCATACAATCATTTCATTGCTACTTTGTAACTCTAATTTTTCTACTGTTATGAATTGTAATTTAAATATCTGATATGCAACCCGGGTCATGACCCATAAGTTGACAACCGCTGTTCTAGGGGCTTCCCTGGCTTATGGTTATGTCTCTTCCTGGTCTTTGGCTTCTCTTTTATTAGTAATAGCTCCCTGCTCTTCTCATACGGGCACATATGATGGACTTTAGGGCTAACCTAGAATAATCTCGCAGTGTTGTGGTTCAGAGCTTGAACTTTGTCAAGACTACATGCTCTTGTTACATTTACAGGTTCCAAGAACTTCATATCTGGGGTCATTGGTTGTTGAGGGGTGGGAATATGATAAAGGAAACACAATTTCTATGGAGTATAAAGACACCAGTGTCTCAGTGGCCTCGTCTGCCCAAGGCCATCACTAGCAATACTGATTGGGGCTCGGCGAGTGTTGGTGGAAACACAGCACAGGGAAGCAGATGATTCTCAGAAACCACCTTATCCCTCATATGAGAAGAGACGTTGGGCAGGAGGCAGACCTGTATGCTACTCTTTGTGAGTGAAAATTCCACCTAGTTCTCAAGCTGAATGGAGATTCAGAAGCCACACCCCAGAAGTCACGCCCTACCAAGTCCCTCCATCTACCTCCCACTTTGACCTGGGGTGATGGTGAAGGATTGTACAGCCAGGCTCAGGCTCACAGAGTATGTTTGGATGTCAGGTGTTGTCCCCACAGATCCAGATGCCCCAGCAATGCCATCTCTGGAGGAGTAGGTGCGACTTTGATCTTTGGCAGCTAGTTCATCAATGCCAAGACCCCCATAGCTCTGATACCAGAGGCCACCAATCCTGTCTGGTCCCCTGCTTGATTACTAAGTCCCAAGGACATGTGGAGACGGCTCCCCTCCTGATGCTGCCAGTGGGGATTATGTACAACACTGGAACCAGACCCCCTTACAAAATTAAATATGCTCAGGGCTTTCTCTCTCAACTTCCGAGTCTTAACTGATTAAACATTCATTTCCAAGACAAAAAGAGTCAATTTAGTATGAAAGATATAGTTCGCTGGTTTAATTTAAAGCACTGCACCTCCATCTGACCTCTATTTTCATAAGTCAATAATTTTATCCTATGTTGATTGTTTCATTTTGAGGGAGATATTGTATTTATAAATCAGCCTCTAAAAATACTCAAAGAAACTCGGAGAGTGGAATTTATTAAGCGGCTCGTGGAGTCTGAGATCACTTCTGGAATCCTCTGGGAAGCAGAGTTCAGGGACGCTGAGTACTGAGAGGAAGCGGTATGCCAGGAAGCAGGGAGGGGGCACACACACACACACACACACACACACACACACACACACATGCTTGATCTCTACCACAAGGGAAAACACTACCTTCAGGGAACCAGAGATGCCCCAAGGGTGAAGGGGAGACTCAGGCAGCTGGAAGCAGAGTCACAATGGCTTCTGGTGGTCAGGGATTCCT